GTCCATCCTAAAGGAGATCAGTCCTGAGTGTTCATTGGAAGGATTGATGTTGAAGCTGAAACTTCAATACTTTGGCTGCCTGATGCGAAGAGCTGATTCATTGGAAACGACCCTGATGCTTGGAAAGATTGAGGGCAGGAGGAGAAGGGGATGACAGAGGATGAGATGGTTGGATGGCATCACCGACTCAATGGACATGAATTTGGGTAAGCTCCAGGAGTTGGTGATGGACAGGGAGGCCTGATGTGCTGTGGTCCATGGGCTTGCAAAGAGTCGGACATGACTGAGCAATTAAACTGAACTTATTTGAAGGATGATCTCTAGATTACCAAAGGAAAGCTTTTTTTCTTTTTACACTGTGGTACTGGTCACCTCTATCAGAATTACTTATGATGTGGGACATTCCTAGAGATCCAGTGGCTAAGACTCTGAATTCCCAATGCAGGGGGCCTGGATCAGGGAACTAGATCCTACAGCTAAGAGTTGGCATGATGCAACAAAGGAGGAAGATCCCACGTGCCACAAATAAGATCTAGCACAGCCAAACAAATGCATAAATATTTTTTAAAAAATAAAAAAAGAAATAATTATGATGCTTGTTAAATATACAGAGTTTCAGGCTCCCTTCCCCACCATTACTCTATCCTGACCAAAATGAAGAAATGCACAACTCTGGAGGTGGGACCCCTGCATGGTTCTCAGTACTCCTAGAGAAAGGTAAATGTACTGAAGTCTGAGAACCACCACCTAAGGGAAGAAAAAAGGAAGGCTAAGCAACTTCACTGTGTCATTCATATCTGTTTATATACATTGTCTCTCTTTCTCTATATATTCCCACAGTCTAAAGAAGCTGAAACTGAGATGAGCTAAGGGCCTCGAATATCAGGTGTTTTAAGGATTAAAATACTTAGGAAAAAAAAATACTTAGGAAAACCTATAGAATGGTTGATATTCATAGCAACCACCAATCCTTCTGTCTCCATTTTTTGCCTCAACTTACCTGGTACCTGGGTTTTTGATGAAGCCAGTGTTTACGAAATTAGGGCAGAGACATGTTGTTTTGATTCCGGTTCTTTCTAAGGCACTCAGTTCTTCAGTCAGAGCTTTATGAAATCCAACAGCAGCAAACTTGCTTGAACTGAAAATAACCAGAGTTCATAAAATAATTCAAGAAAGCGGCTACATCTACTTAACTCAGATATCTGTTTTCCTTAGGTAAGTGTGGTGCTCTGCTAGAGAGCCTGAGCCACATCTGAATCTCAGGCCTGGCCAGGACCTGCTGAATTAGAATCTGCATTCTAGATGACCCTCGGGCAAACTGACAGGTACAGTAAAGTCTCAGAGGGCTTCCCAGGTGGCCCAGCACTGAAGAAGTTGCCTGCCAATGCAAGAGACGTGGGTTCAATCCCTGGGTGTGGAAGATCCCCTGGAGAAGGAAATGGCAACCCACTCCAGTATTCCTGCCTGGAAAACTCCATGGACAGAGGAGCCTGGCGGGCTACAGTCCATGGGGTTGCAAAAGAGTCAGACACCACTAGCAACTAAAACAACAAATAACAACAAAGTCTAAGAAGCATTGACTGTATCTCAGCAATCATCAGAGAAGTGAGTAGGTTTAAATGTCTTGTTAAGAAAATTGGTAGGGTGTTCATTTTTGTTGTTGCTGTTTCCCCCAAAAATGTAGTGTCACTACAGGCTGTTCATTATTTACTACAACATGTCCTGGAATTTATTGGGAAAATCTCCTGGGTAAGTCCTGTTCTTCCTTTAAGTCTTAGCTTGACTTTCTTAAAGATGTATTTCCAAAACCCTAGTCTATATTATTTCCCCATTATACAGTAATCTTCAGTTTTCCATGAAGCACATCTTGAGTTTGTAATTATTCATTTCAATGAATTTTTTTAATGTCTGGCCCCATACCTTCACTATAATAATCTCCATGACTGTTTTGGTCTCCAATGAATCCCAGGCCCCAGGGCCTGGCACAGTGCTTGGCCTATAATAGGTGCTCAGTAAATATTTTTCAAGTGAATAAATCAAAATGTAAAGCAATTCTTATCATCATAGTGCCTTCATTTGGAAAGAGAATGGAAATAACCATATTTTAACTGGACATTACTTTTCCAACTAGGCTTTTAGAGAAAGTAGCAATACTGAAAAATATAAAGTCACATACCATATAATCCACTCACTTAGAAATACAATTCAATGGGTTTTAGAATATTACTTTATTAATTTTTAAAATTATACAAAATATTTTTATATAAAATTTACAATTTTAATTATGTTTAAGTGTATAATTCAGTACCATTAATTACTAGATAGATTGCTTTTCTCTAAGCCTATACAGATTAGCAATTATACAAAGTAAATTCTTGCCAATTTACCTGTGCTTTGGAAAACAGAAAGCTGTGGAAAGTTCTCTTTTATCCTTTTTTCCTGAAGCTTAGACATTTACTGAAGCCTTAAAAGAAAGATTGCTAGATTCAATTACATAAAATGTAAATCTTCGGTACACAACAGAAACAAAACAATCATATCTAAAATTGATTACTGTATAACAGACACTGACCTCAGTTATTCAGATACATTATTTAATTCCTTACAACAATTCTGTGAAACCGATACTATTATGATCTCCATTTCCCAAAAAAGAAACGTAGGTAGAGGTGGAATTATAGAACTTGCCCAAAGACAAAATGAAATTGTGGAATTAGGCTTTATATTTGGGTGGCAAAGCAGACCACTAATATGATATAGTCAAAACTTATATTAGCTCCTAACCAAGTTAAGGGCTTCCCAGGTGGCACTAGTGGTAACGAATCTGCCTGCCAATGCAGGAGGTGTAAGAGATGCGGGTTTGATCCCTGGGTGGGGAAGACCCCCTGGAGAAGGAAATGACAACACACTCCAGTATTCTTGCCTGGGAAATTGACTCAGTGACTAAACAAAAACAACAACCAAGTGAAGAGGTAAATGACAAACTGGTAAAGCATTTGCAACTTAGAGGACAAGGATTAGGGTGATGTAAGAATTAGGTGAATAAACGACAATTTTTACAAATGAATGAACATCTCAGTCATGTCTGACCCATTTTACGATCCCAAGGACTGTAGCCTGCCAGGCTCCTCTGTCCATGGGATTTTCCAGGCAAGAATATGGATTGCGTTGACATTTCCTTCAGGGGAAGATCCCTAACTCAGGGATCAAACCCACATCTCCTGCATTGGCAGGTGGGTTCTTTACCACTGAGCCACTGAGGAAGTCAAATGAATAAGACAATATTCTAATGGATAAATGCCTAAGGGCATTAGCAGAAAATTTACAAAATAAAAATACCAATGTGTATGAGTGCTAAATCACTTTAGTTGACTGTCCAACTCTGTGTGATGCTATGGACTGTAGCCTGCCAGACTACTCTGTCCAGGGGATTCTCCAGGCAAGAATACTGAAGTGGATTGCCATGCCCTGCTCCAAGGGATCTTCCCAGGGATCAAATGCATCTCTTATATCTCCTGCACTGGTAGGTAGCTTCTTTACCACTAGTGCCACCTGGGAAGCCCCCAAATACCAAGAGATATATGTATATGTAATGTTTTATCTTTTCAGGGGTAATTAATATAAATACCAAATAGAAAAAGATAAAAGTTGTGCCTAGGAGTAACAGTAAGGATAGTAGGAAATTTTTTATTTGTTTGAGTTGTTTTCAATGTACAAAATACTTTCATTTTATAGAACTGGACTGGCAATCTTTTTAAGTCATATGTCTCAGCTTTAAGAAAAAAAAGTGGAAAAAAAAAAGTGAGGGAACTTTCAACAGAATTTCCAAAGTATAGGTTAACTGGCAGTTTTCCAAAGTACAGGTTAATTGGCAGCATTTTCTGGAAGACAATTTGGCAAAAGGTATAAAATTCATTAAAAAAATATGCCATGCTGGAGACTTCTCTGGCAGCACAGTGGTTAAGACTCTGTGCTTCCACTGCATGGGGTGCGGGTTTGATCCCTTGCTGGGGAACAAAATCGACATGTCATGAGATAACAGCCAAAAAAATAATAATTCTACCTAACTATTTATCTATCTATGCATATTCTTAGAGCCAGTAATTTCTCTTTTAATGACTTATCCCAAGGAAATAATCAATCATGTCTCTAAAGATTTATAGTCAAGGATAGTCCCTGGGGTATCCAGTTCATGAAGGCAAATGGTTGGAAAGAGCTGAAAATGTCTGTAGTGGACAGAGGCTGTTTTTGCCTCTGTCAGCATTCATATTCCCTCATTTTGCTAAGGCGGCGTTGGTTTTGCTGGCTTACACCCCAGTACAGCAGTTGGATTCAAGTTTGTCTAGTTAAGAGTGAACTCCAGAACTAGGACACTTGTGAACTCCAGAACTAGAACACTTGTGAACTCCAGAACTAGAACACTTGTGAACTCCAGAACGAGGGCCCGCTGCTGCTAGACTTGGGAGTTGAGAAGACATTATTCCAGCATGGCTGGTGGCCATCTTAGCAACAGAAAGCCTGCCTAAGACATCTCTTTCGGTCTGAGGCAGTTTAAGTTTTGTGTTCCTGGCAACTGAAAGAATCTGGAAAAATAAATTACCCAACAAAAACTGAAAATGATGTTGCATATATATATTTAACATGCAAAATGTTCACTTTAAATTAAAAAAATTATATATGTATATCTTTTTCAAAGTATGACTGTATTTCTACATTAAAAATGTCCTAAAAAATGATAAGAAATGCTCATCATGGTTATTTCTGTGTGTGAGATTACCAATAAATAATCTTGTTTTTTCTTCAACTAAACTGTTTTTTCTGATTTTTCTGAAATGAACCAAAAGTACAGAAATTTATTAAAACTCATAGTTAATGATCTTGAGTATGTTGAAGGAATTTTATATTTTTGAACTTCAGAGTGAATTTGTTCTTAAATATATATATATATATATATCTCAAAGCTAACGTGAGTGGATTTTTTTACTGCACTTTGTGTGTATGAAAGCGTTATTTGCTCAATCATGTCTGACTCTGTGACCCCATGGACTGTAGCCCAACAGGCTCCTCTGTCCATGGAATTCTCCAGGCAAGAATACTGGAGTGGGTAGCCATTCCCTTCTCCAATGGATCTTCCTGACCCAGGGATTGAACCCAGGTCTTCTGCACTGCAGGCAGACTCTTTTCCAGCTGAAGTGAAGTGAAGTGAAAGTTGCTNTAAAACACCTTTGCTCCATCAGAGCTTGGGTCCCCGTGTCTTTCTATTCTTTCTGTCTTTCTCTATTTCTGGCTAATTCCTTGGAGCGCGGAGGCCCGCTGAGCTCACTTTCTTGCCCGGGCTTCTAAGCCCCTCTCGAGAAGGCGCACCGCGCCTTCACCCACTCGAGAGGCGCCCGGTGCCCACGTGCGGCAGCGCGAGGCCTAAGAACAGGGCTCTATTGCCTTTCCGCGTAAACCAGGGGACAGCAGCCTCTTTCTCTCTCTTACTCTCCGGGCCACCAGGTTCCGGTCCATTAAAGGACCAACATGAAGTGAAGTGAATTGAAAGTCGTTCAGTTGTGTCTGTCTCTTTGTGACCCCATGGACTACACAGTCCCTGAAATTCTCCAGGGAGTGGGTAGCCTTTCCTTTCTCCAGGGGATCTTTCCAACTCAGGGATCGAACCCAGGTCCTCCCGCATTGTGGGTGGATTCTTTACCAGGTGAGCCACAAGGGGAGCCCAAGAATACTGAAGTGGGTAGCCTATCCCTTCTCCATCAGATCTTCCCAACCCAGGAATTGAACCAGGGTTTCCTGCATTGCAGGTGGATTCTTAGCCAACTGAGCTATCAGGGAAATCCCATATTTACAGACATATCAATGGCTACATTTACAATTACATCTGTGTTACTTCTAAAATTTAGATACTTAATTCCAAAAGAGCACATTTATTCGGTAGAAAACAAATATCAGCAATATCTATTTACCTGCATAGTCATAATTCAACATTAAAGGGTGATAATTTGCTAACATACAGAAACAGCGAACAACAGGGTGCCTGCAACCAGTAGGATGACCATGGCTATCATGACCTCACTGATTAATTCTCCACACCATTACTGTGCCCTACTTGTCACAGTAACTTCTTAGTTATTATAATAGCATGGGTTTTTAGAAGAACTATTAAAATTCATTTTTACAACAATTTCATTGTCTGGATGTTTTTAATTTGGAATCCCAGATTATATTCTCTTTATAATGGTTAGTTTCCACAAAATTACTTTATTAAAACGATTAATATTAACTTTTTTCATCTTGCAAAAATCCTGCCCTCGTTTTAATTCCTTGCTGCTAAAAGGGAAGTGAAATGCTTGAAGCACTTGGCTTCCTATTGGATAATTTCCCTGTAGCCACCTCTCAAATCATCAGCCTAGGAGAGGATTAATGATTGATAAGGTTGTTGTGCAAGAGACATTCTGCAACTCCTTCTGCTTATTTCAGCAACACTGGAAGTCTGTGTGTTACTTGCTCAGTTGTGTCTGACTCTTTTGTGACCCCCATGGACTGAAGACTGCCAGGCTCCTCTGTTCATGGAATTCTCCAGGCAAGAATACTGGAGTGGGTTGCCATTCCCTTTTCCAGGGGATCTTCCCGACCCAGAGATTGAAATCAGGTCTCCTGCAATGCAGGAAGATTCTTTACCATCTGAGACACCAGGAAAGCCTATCATTGTTAACAATAGCCATTACACTCAAGAAATCACACTCAAGTTAAGCACAGGAACCAATGAAAAAAACACATGTTTACATACCAGTAAGCCAGTAAGAAGGGGACCCCAGTATGCCCAGCTGCTGAAGCCACAGTGACAATATGGCCATGATTACTCTTCATCATCTCGGGAAGAAATGCCTTTGTAGTCTAGAAATGTTTTTATTAAGAGAAAAAAAATTATTTCTGATTTGTAAACCCAGTGGGAATATTTCAAAATGAAAGTGTATTTTGTTAACATTGTTCATAACATTTCATCAATGAAAAAAACCTAGATTAATCTTCATAAAAGAAAAAAAACAAATGTGGCAACATAATGCAGATAGGATGCCCAGATTAGAAAAGCTCAGTGAAACAATGAACACTGAAAGCTTTGAGAATCCATCTCAATTAAGTTGTTAATTTCGTATGTCTCCAGTTCCTCCACCTTCCATCATTGACGTCTTCTCTCATCTCATATACTGAACAAGTATAATAACTAGAGTTATTAAAAATTTTACATTTAAGGTGAAATTGTTAGAAAAGAGTTTGGTTATGTCATCAAAATACTGAAGTGACAAAAACCTTGCAACAGTCACTGAATGATTTTATACAATAAATATTTATTGAGCACCTACTCTATGCTGGGGATTCAGAAAAAAATACATTTTCAGAGCGGCAGAAAGACACAAACTTTTAAGGCATAAAAATATAAAAAATGGATGTCAATAACTTGGAGCTAATAAAATGAAACAATACTGCATTTTCACCAACCCCAATATCCCTTCTTTTAAACTAAAGTAAAGTTGATTTACAATACTGTATTAGTTTCAGGTGCAGAGCAAAGTGATTCAGTTTTATATACATATATATATTCATATTATTTTCCATTATGGGTTATTATGAGGTAATAAATATAATTCCCTGTGCTATACAGTAGATCCTTGTTGCTTATCTGTTTTATGCCTAGCAGTTTGTTAATCCCAGACTCCTAATTTGTCTCTTTCCCTTCCCTCTCCCCTTTGGTAACCATAAGTTTTTCTGTGTCTGTGCATCTGTTTCCGTTTTGTATATAGATTAATTTGTATCATTTTTCATTTTCCATATGTAAAGGGTATCATATATTTGTCTCTCTCCATCTGATCTACTTCACTCAATATATTCTTTAGGTCCACCCATGTTGTTGCAAATGGAAATATTTCATTCTTTCTATGGCTGAGTACATTTCCATTGTATACATATTTACTACACCTTCTAAGTCTCAATTATATGTTGATGGGCACTTCGGTTGTTTCCATGTCTTGGCTATTGTAATGCTTATATGAACACTGGGGTGTATGTACCTTTGCAAATTAGAGTTTTCATTTTTTATGCACGTGTACCTGGGAGTGGGATGGCTGGGTCATATGTAGCTCTCTTTTTTGTTTCTTAAGGCAGTTACATACTATTTTCTCCAGTGACTATACCGATTTATATTCTGAGATTACTCATCCCAAACTCACATCCAAGAAATCTTTAAGAAATCTTTTATGTAACGGCTATTTGACCAACATTTAGACTCTCTCTCTCATTCTCTCTCTCTCACCATTTAAGATCTTGAATGGTGAAGTTCCTAATAAAGTTTGCAATTTTGGAACCAGGAAATAATATAAGGCCTAAGTCTTGTGAGACTCTGAAAGTAAACAGGTAAACTGGGTTCACCTTTTATAGAATCACAGAAAATGACTCAGATAATCTCTAATCCCTCCCTCATCTCTGAACAGATCACACAGAAATGTAAAAATCTAGCTTAGAATTAAAACATATATAACACCTAAAGTTTATTCTTATTATTAATTCATATTACTCATATTTTTTGAGGGAAGGGAAGAATGATTTGATAGGATTTGGTCACAGGATGTAAAAGGTTTCTTTGTATAATGTTATTCTCAGTATCTATCTGGAGAAAATTGATCTGATTCAACCTTATGTCTGCTGAAAGCTTCACTTTAGGCCTGGTGCACTGGGAAGACCCAGAGGGATCGGGTGGAGAGGGAGGTGGGAGGGGGGACCGGGATGGGGAATACATGTAAATCCATGGCTAATTCATGTCAATGTATGACAAAAACCACTGCAATGTTGTAAAGTAATTAGCCTCCAACTAATAAAAATAAATGGAAAAAAAAAACAACAAAACAAAACAAAAAAAAGGAAGCTTCACTTTAAACTTAATCCTTGGGTTACACAAAAGGGAATGTTTTTGGTAAAAGAAATCATACTTACCCAGAAATGTGCAAGGATATTAACTTCAAAAGTCTTTTCAATCTGAGGGTCTTGTGTAGCGAACAAATCTGATGTGTAGACTACACCAGCATTATTTACTAAAATACTAACATCTCCAACTTCTGCCTTCACCTTCAAAAATAAAATTAAAATATTTGCAACATTTAGAGGTCTGGGAATAGGTCTGCATGCAATGACTGTTAACGAAATATAACTCTTTCTATTAGACGTGAAAAAAAAGTAGTTTTGTAACCTGTGTGTCAAGTGGGAAAAAAAAATTTTTTAAGTCCTTAATTTCAAAACAGCCCTGTCTGTAAATCTAATAGGTAGAAATTTTCTTTTGCAATTCAGTCTCTTGACTTTGCTCTCTATTGATTAGAACCCAAGAGGCATTTGTCTGACAAAAACCTAACCAGTGACAGATAAACAACAATTCACAGTGGGAGAATCTAATGAGAATGAGAATCTAATGCCACTGCTGATCTGATAGGAGGCGGAGTTCAGGTGGTCATGCAAGCAATGGGGAGTAGCTGTAAATACAGATGAAGCTTCACTTGCTCAACCACTGGTCACCTCCTATGCAGCCTGGTTCCTAACAGGTCATGGACCAGTAGCAGCCCCCAGCAGTTGGGGGACTGAAGGAGAGGTGGTATGTAGCCCATTAAAGCCTTTCACTATGCTATGCATTTTACACGATTGCATTATTTATCCCATTTAATTCTCACCATTCTATGAAGTAGTAATTCTTACATGCTCATTTTAAAGGTCAGAGACATTGGAGAAGGAAATGGCAACCCACTCCAGTATTCTTGCCTGGAGAATCCCATGGACGGAGGAGCCTGGTGGGCTACAGTCCACGGGGTCGCAAAGAGTCGGATATGACTGAGCGACTTCACTTTCACTTTCAACCCTCAGCTGAGACTTTCAGCTCTTGTGTTTGCTATTGATTGTTTTCTTGAGTTCTCAAAGACCTGTGATCATAATTTTTTTAAGTTGCCTGTTTTCTAATTGCATCACTTTACACACTGTTGTCTAATAATATGTGGTATTTAGAATGCCTTCTTAATTATTTTGAGCAGCCATTGCCTGTATTTTCTTAGCACCTCCTTGGTTTTCTTATGTGAACTCATCTGACAGGGAAATGCAGCTTTTTTGTTTGCCCTCTCTGCATACTGGACCATCTGAGTCAGTGTTCTAACTAATCCCTGATGGTCTCTGAGCTACTGTTCTACCAGACTCAGTAGTTATGTGCTTCAGGAATTTTTCGGTAGAATTGGTCCTATTAGGAGACTCTTGGTGTCACCTTTGTTATCTTAAAAGCTGGTCCCTTCGCTGAGGCTCTTAATTTTTTGAAAACTTGATTCTATTTCAGCTGAAAATTGGCAAAGCTATTTAAAAAATTGATGGAAGCCATTTAAGAAATTGAAAAGTAATCGCAAACAACATTGGGTAGTTGTGACTTTCAGTTCTGTATCAGTTGAATTTTTGTGCTCTTTTCCCTGTGTACGTGGTGGTTCTATTTTTCTCCAATAAAACTTTTTATTTAAAAAAAATTAAAAAAATAAAAAATAAAGGTCAGAAACATGAAACACAGAAGGGTTGTTTCTTGCCCAAGGTCACATGGATAACTAAGGTTACATGGAGATGAAACTCTCCCAGATTCTCTGACCTCAGAGCCCAAGACATGCCACTTCAGACAGAAAGGAAGTCGGAGTGAAGGCTGGTCAGCACATCAGAAGGGCATGAATGTGTCACTGCTAAACGCTCAGCAGTCAGAAATTAATTTCATCAGGTTGTATGTAAATTACTGGGTGGTCAAGCTGAGTGGTCTGGCCCTTGACAAACACTATGTGTACCTGTCTCCTCATCTCTAGCACAACATAAAAACTGTTGTTCAGAATAATGCCCCTAAGTTCTTGAGAGAAAGAGGACATTTTGTGTGGTTGAACTGATGAAGCTGCCATTATGCCTCCAAAGTAACAGGACTCAAGATATAAATTCATGACTTCCCTCATGGCTTGGACAGTAAAGAATCTGCCTGCAAAAAAAAAAGAATCTGCCTGCAACGCAGGAGACCCAGGTCTGATCCCCGGGTCAGAAAGATCCCTTGGAAAAGGAAATGGCAACCCACTCCAGTATTCTGTCCTGGGAAATCCCATGGACAGAGGAGCCTGGCAGGCTACGGTCCAGAGCGTCGCCGAGTCAGACGTGACCAAGCACGCGCACACATCAGGGACACGATATAAATTACTGCTTTATATTGCCAATGACACTCCTGACCTTATCTTCATCCTTCAGCTCCTCATCATCACATAATATCCCACCCTAGGGCTTTCACATTTCTTAATAATGGAAGCAGGCCGAGAGTTTAATTGAATCGAGTATCTAGAGGTGAGGTCCAGGCATGTGTATTTTAAAGAATTTTCCCAGGTCCAAATGGCCTTTCTACCATTACAGTAATTAGTTAACAAGTTAATTCGTTAACCAAGTTCCCCGGAAAACTCCAGAACACACTACAGTCTGGGAGCCTCAGGTTCAGGTTCAGGGTCTGCCACTGGCTAGCTGGACAACCTTGGAGGAACCACAAAACTTCTGTTTACTTTGCCTACATCATAGAGGGGTCATCTCCAAATCCTCCCCAGTTTTGGCACAATACGATTGGAACCAAATTTAAAAGAAGTTTACCTTCTTTGCAGAACTGTAAATATCTTCTCGGTTGCTGCAGTCTACCACAAAGGCATGAGCCTTCGCGCCCAGTCTCTTGCATTCGGCGGCTGTTTCCTCAACTCCATGCTGCAAAAAGCAACGAAGGGCAAGGAGAGCAAGATAAATGACATGAGCAGATAATACACACAGCTGAAAACAGCTAAGGGTATTGAGATTCTCGGGTCTAGGACTGGACAAGAATTTAACTAATGCATTTTTGACAGGGATATAGGCACGCTTCACTCTCCGTACTACAACGAATTTCTCTTATTTGGAACTGAATTGAAGGCAAGCTTTTAAAAGAAGACCAAAGTCTTAAAATACTGAGCGTGTATTCATGAATTTCACATGCTTTTTAAAAATTAATTTTTACGGGAGCATAGTTGCTTTCCATGGTTCTGTCATACTCTGTGACTCTGTGTATGTGTGTATTCCATGTGCATGCTAAGTCACTTCAGTCGTGTCTGACTTGTGACCCCATGGATTGTAGCCTGCCTGGCTCTTCCGTCCATGGGGCTCCCCAGGCAAGAATACTGGAGTCCAAGGGACTCTCAAGAGTCTTCTCCAGGACCAGAGTTCGAAAGCATCAATTTTTTGGTGCTCAACCTTCTTTACAGTCCAACTTTCACATCTGTATATGACCACTGGAAAAACTATAGTTTTGACTATAAAGATCTTTGTTGGCAAAGTGATGTCTCTGCTTTTTAATATGCTGTATATTCACCCGTCTACTTTTCATGGAGCTTACAGATTGTAAAAAGTCTAAGAACCACTAAACCTGACTGGGGAAGGAGAATAGGTGGAAATAGAGATCCAATAGGTTGGATATTTGCAAGGAGATCCAACCAGCCCATCCTAAAGGAGATCAGTCCTGGGTGAAGCTGAAACTCCAGTACTTTGGCCACCTCATGCGAAGAGTTGACTCATTGGAAAAGACCCTGATGCTGGGAGGGGTTGGGGGCAGGAGGAGGAGGGGACGACAGAGGATGAGATGGCTGGATGACATCACCGACTCGATGGGCATGAGTTTGAGTCGACTCCGGGAGTTGGTGATGGACAGGGAGGCCTGGCGTGCTGCAATTCATGGGGTCGCAAAGAGTCAGACACGACTGACAGACTGACCTGAACTGAACTGAACTGACTGAATATACAGAACTAGGACTGCCAAACTTTTATTTAGCCAATTAAGGATGTTAAAAACTAACACAGCAGCTATTTATATTTACTATCACTGTAATTTCATTAAATAAATAGATAGATATAGATAGAATGGGATGACAGAGGACGGGATGGTTGGATGGCATCCTCGACTCAATGGATATGAGTTTGAGCAAGCCCCTGGAGATGGTGAAGGAGAGGGAGGCCGGGAGTGCTGCAGTCTATGGGGTTGCAAAGAGTTGGACATGACTGAGCAACTGAACAATAGATTTATATCTATATATATAATCCACCAAAGAGTAGGAAGAACATCATCTCAAAGTAGAAGATAAAATTATTTAAACTAAATGAATTTCACATAATACATGCTCCCTATATTATCCTTAATTTTCTGACCACTTCTGCTACTACCAGCCGGGTCTGACAAGCCGACATTATCTTTTACCTGAAGTGAAGTCAAAGTTGCTCAGTCATGTCCGACTCTTTGCGACCCCATGGACTATGTAGTCCATGGAATTCTCCAGGCCAAAATACTGGAATGAGTAGTGGTTCCCTTCTCCAGGGGATCTTCCCAACCCAGGGGCTCGAACCCAGGTCTCCTACATTGCAGGTGGGTTCTTTACCAGCTGAGCCACCAGGCAAGCCCATCTCTTACCTGGATTATCACAATAGTCTCCTAACTGCTTTCCCTGCAACCCAGCAGCCCGAGGAACCTCTTCATAGAAACTGGTTCCAAACCCTCCACTGGTTTCCCTAGTAAAAACTGAAGCACAAACAACCTACAGGAACCTTCATGATTGGAGCTGCTGTTCCTTCAGTTTCTATGCCAGAGCCATCCCACAGAAATATAATGTAAGCCACATATATTTAACTGTTCTAGTAGCACATTAAAATTTTTTTAGTTTAGTACATTTTATATAACTTTGCAACCCCATGAACTGTAGGCTATCAGGCTCCTCCATCCATGGAAGTTTCCAGGCAAGGGTACCGGAGTGGGTTGCCATTTCCTTCTCCAGGGGGTCTTCCTGACCCAGGGATCAAACCCAGGTCCCCCATAATGCAGGCAGACACTTTTACCATCTGAGCCACCAGGAGAGCCCCTTTATATAACTTACTATGCCCAAAATATTATTGTTTTGAAATATTTATTATTAGGAAATATAATCATTTCAACATGCAATCCATATAAAAGTAATTAATAAGAAAGTCTTTGAAATGCCATGAGTATTTATATCTATAAGCAAGCATAAGTGTTAGTTGCTCAGTCATGTCTGACTCTGCGACCCCATAGATTGCACCCCACCAGGCTCCTCCGTCCACGGAATTCTTCAGGCAAGAATAATGGAGCAGGTTGCCATTTCCTTCTTCAGGGGATCTTCCCGACCCAGGGATTAAACCCTAGTCTCCTGTATTACAGGCAGATTCTTTAACATCTGAGCCACCAGGGAAGCCATTCATACCTCAAGCACATTCTAATTCTGCCAAGTCACATTTCAAACACTACACAGCCACAAGTGGCTGGTGGCTAATATCTACTACTGCACCCAAACAACAGTAACACAGAGCTTTCTTTCACTTCTCTCCCTTCTGTGCCAGGCTTTGTCTTTGTGGATCCCTCTCTGCAGAGATAAGCCAGGGACTCACTGTACCCTCAGCCTCTTCTGACTTTGACTCAACTGCCTCCATCTTGGTGAGGCCTTCTGTACAAGATCAACACTCCCACCTCTGCCATCCCCACAGTATAGGCAGAGTCCCTATCCACTTTCATGTTTTATTTTTCAATTATACTTAACAACATCCAACAATTACACATTTTAGTATATACTGTTTATTGTCCCTAGCTCATAACATTTTCCTCACTGCTGTATCCTCAGTTCTGCATTAGAAGTTTCTGGCAGATAGTAGGTGCTCAATAAGTATTTGTTGAGTAATGGAGAAGGAAATGGCAACCCACTCCAGTATTCTTGCCTGTAGAATCCCATGGACAGAGAAGCCTGGCAGGCTACAGTCCGCGTGGTCGAAAGAGTCGGACAAGAGTTAGCAACTAAACCACCACCAAATGTACTTCATTCCAGATCAGAAAAAAGTTTGTACAAACTAGCATTGGGCTCTGGGAGTCACGAATCTAGACGCATAACCAAACTCATACACCTTTGAACTTTCGCTTAAACTTCATTTTGTGAAGGAATAATAATAACTTAACACTTGGTGTGTTTACCACATGGCAGGTACCACTATATGCTTTGTGTGGTGGTACCACTACATGCTTTATTTCCCATCCCTCTGAGGAAAGTACGCTTATCATATGGATTTTGCAGTAAAGGAAACTAAGGCTCCAGGAAGCTACGCACGATGCTGAGTAAGTTAGCCATGAAGTGTGGAGTTCATCTGACCACACCACTCTGCCTGCCACTTACTGCTGTGACCACGTCCAGAGGAGGCTGGGCCTAGTTTCTACCTTTCGCTGACATGTAATTATTTATGCTTATTTCCCTCAGAGATTGAGAGCACGGGACTCTATCTCTTGTTTGCCACTGTGTTCTTAACATTTGGGCAACAGACAGTGAAGGGTATCTGTTGATGGCATCTCAATCACCCATTCACTGGGTAGCTCTCGTACATGTGAACTAAGTTGCTTCAGTTGTGTTAGATTCTTTTCGACCCTAAATACTGTAGCCTGCCAGGCTCCTCTGTCCATGGAATTCTCTAGGCAAGAATATTGGGGTGGGTTGCCATGTCCTCCTCCAAGGGATATTCCCCACTCAGGGACTGAACCTATATCTCCTGTGGCTACTGCATTTCAGGTGGATTCTTTCCTTCTGAGTCACCAGGGAAGCCAGGTTAGCTCTCAGCCAACCTCAGCCCCCTGAATTCTTGTTTATACCATTGGATGTTGTGTAAGGGATGGTGTTTCTTGGCATCGTGTGGTTCCCCCAAGCCCCTCTGTCCATCCAACACTGGTCAAATAATAAAAGGTAAGAGTCTAAGTTCATCTCCCTTCCTCAGGGTACACCTATTCTGGGAATTACTTTGAAAGTTTTTTTTTTCCCCCATTGCTTTTAACTAAAAGGTGATTTAAAAATTTCTCTTGGAAATTACTATGACAAAGTAATGTTGCTTTCTGTTGGGTATCTTTTAAATGTACTTATCTCAGTAGCTGCAAGATTTTTCTCTTAATAGGTGCAAACCTCTTTTTTAACACACTAGCTAAAGCTTTGACTTTTCCTACAGGATAAGATTTAAGACTCCACCCTCCCGATGTAGAAGGCACAGGTTTGATCCCTGGTTGGGGAAGATCCCACATGCTGCTCAGCAGTCAAAAAATAGAAGCCAGAGGGATTAGTGAAATCAGGTTCAAAGAGCTGGACACGACTGAGCAACTGAACTGAACTGAAGATAAATTGACAATGTCAAATTAGTGATAAGCAATAACTGGAAACCTTACATCCTCTAGGTTCCTTATCATGTGAAAAAAGTGAAAGTTAAGTCACTCAGTCGTGTCCGACTCTTTGCGACCCCATGGACTGCAGCCTACCAGGCTCCTCTGTCCATGGGATTTTCCAAGCAAGAGGACTGGAGTGGGCTGCCTTCTCCAGGGGATCTTCCTGATCTAGGGATTGAACCCAGGTCTCCTGCATTGTAGGCGGACGCTTTAGCATCTGAGCCACTAGTGTGAACACCAACACATTAATTGATGCATGTTTTCCCCCCTTCTATAAAATGGCAATACTAGTAATTTTTTTCCTACTTACTTAACAGAGATGCTGTAAGGGGCTGTTGCCAGCAAAATGCAACACAGATGAAAGGTACTAGAAAGTAAAAAACAGTAAGCACTATTACCTTATTTATATCCCACAGGACCAGCTTGCACTTAAGTTTGGCAAATTCGTAGGCAGTCTGCCTGCCAATTCCGTGTCCAGCTCCGGTAATCAGGACGATCTCTCCGGTGACTGATTTTCTCTTCTTAGGAATAAAAAGCTTCAGGAGAGACTCTACGATGCAGACGGGCAAAAAGGGCAGAAGCAGGAAGACGGACAGAAGGAATTTGATCATTTTTTTTTGCTGCTGCGAGCTTTGGGTATATTTCGTTTTACCAGTCACTCTAAATTGCTTCTGGGAGATTGTTCCGTCAAAGACTGGCGCTTGTAAAAGCGAGAACAAGGAAAGGCTCCTTTATCGCAGAGAAACAAACAACTCCGAAACCGTTCCTTCCGCTGGGCTGGGCTTGGCTAGGTCTTTGGCAATTGGCTCAGGCTGCAGTGCGGAACGACAGCTCGTCAGCTCAGAAATCTGGGAGGGACAAAAACCCAGCCGCGGGGGGTGGGGGGAGCTTTCTAGTTGAGGTGCGCTGCGAGGCTCATCTTTTCCTCACTTTTTCGTGGTCTCGCGGGCCGACCTTGAAGGGTTCGTTGCCACTTGTTTTGGTAAATGTGATCAATTCCTTTTAAAGTTACAAGGCTAACTGGCAGGGTGCTCAGTCCAGAGGCTTTCCTGAAACTTGATGGTTCCCCCACCCTGGTTAAGGGATGCGGATGTCGCTTCTTGTTTAAAAGGAACCTCGGGAGAAGGCCAATTGTTCTCGCTGGCTGAGAAAAGGATGCTCTATCAGATTTCAGTTTGAGCTCTGCATGGTTTCTGGAGGAGGGGGACGTTTTGTCCTTTCAAGGGCAGCAATAATCAAGCACCAGGAAAATTCTGATTATATCCAGGGAGACTGTTTCCACAAGGAAGAACAGGATTTGGATAAGTTTTTTTTTTTTCCACTGCATTTATTAGAACTTGCAATAAACATATATTATGCTTTAGTTATTGTATCTTTATCCAGGTTAAAAACATCATTGCCCCCCAGATAAATAATAAAGTGGGAAGAAGATCACCTTGCCTAAAGATTACCTATGTAATCTTGTTCAGTAGCTGATGTGTATAAGTATTCAATATATAAGTGGTGATGTAAACAAAAATCTTACATATTGTTTATTAAAATAAAAGACCCAACTCTGGTCTCTGGTCTCGTGTGAAGGAAGAGCTTAATAAATGTCCCTTATATGTATTTTAAGAAATTCAGTTCTTTTTCTTTTCTTTTTTTTTCAGTTCTTTTTTTAAAAATTAATTTTTATTGGAGAACATTTGCTTTACGATGTGTTGGTTTCCACTGTACGGCAAAGGGAATCAGGTCTCGGTGTACATATGTCCGCTCTGTTTTGGATTTCCTTCCCATTTAGGTTAACACAGAGCACGGAGTAAGATTCCCTGAGCCATACGGTAGGTTCTCATTAGTTCTCTTCACTTCAGCTCTTTTTTTCTAAAAAAAATTAATTTTTATTTATTTGTTCTTGGCTGCACTGGGTCTTCGTTGCTGGGTGGGTTTTTCTCTAGTGGCAGGGCCTGAGCTTCTCGTTGGGGTGGCTTCTCTTGTTGGGGACGGGCTTTCGGGTGAGTGGGCTTCAGTAGCTGCGGCTCCTGGCTCTAAAGCTCAGCTGTAATAGTTGCGGCACGCTGGCTTAGTTGCTCTGAGACATGTGGGATCTTCCCCGATCAGGGATCAAACCCGTGTCTCCTGCATTGGCAGACGGGTTCTTTACCACTGAGCCACCAGAGAAGCCCCTCAATTCAGTCCTTAACCATAGATGAACTGGGGCTTTTTGTAAGACACTAGGGCGCTTGGAAAGACACTTCTGTCACGTGGGTCACTAATGGTCACCCTTTATGTTTAAGAGGCAGGGAGATCACAGATAATGGAAGTTCACAAATAATTCACATTCATTTCTCCCTCTTATTTAAACAGCCCCTACACTGTTATGGGGGATAAAGTGACAATTCCACAATGTAGAATTCCATTATAGATTTCCTGAAAATTCTGAAGTCTCTGTGGTTTTTTCTTGTAGCTGCCAAATCCAAGTCTATGATTATACAGTACCTTTCACAGGGGAGATTTATGTCTTACTTTCAGGAAGACAGAAAGGAGAGTATTCTCATACCAGCTATTTCTCAAGTAGTTCTAATGGATTCAAAACAAAAGGCCATGAAACAGTAATTACACAGGTCAGTGAAGAAAGTTCCCTGTTACTTTAAAGAATACTGAGGAGGACTGTGCAGAAATGATGACTAGGTTGTGATGAAGGAGGTACTTCCAATAGCTATCTTGTCATTCTGGTATGGAAGCCTTCACTCCTGGCTCTGAAGTCTGAATTTTAGAGCTGGAGGAATTTAGATGTTAGCTTATCCAACTGGATCTTTTTTCTTTAGTAAGTATTGAATCTATGAATTCAAAGTAATGAATATGTCTGGTTTGAAATGGTTCAACAGGAAAGATATCAAAAAGACAGTCCCTAATCCTACACTGTTTTGGGTTTTTTTTTTTTTTTTTGGTTTGTTTGTTTTTGCTTGTTTTGGCCACAACTATGAGGCTTGCAGGACTTGACCTGGAACAGTGAGAAGTACTGAGTCCTAACCATTGCACCAGGGAATTGCCACCCTGTTTTATTTCTCAGATCAAATGCTTCTAATCAATTTAGCTGTCTTTTACAGACTCTTTTAGTGTCTTTTTTCCTTTCTACTAAAATACTATTAAGGAATTACTATCAATCCTGTTTCTGGAGGAGGGCATGGCAACCCACTCCCATATTCTGCCTGGAGAATCCCCACGGACAGAAGAGCCTGGCAGTCTGCAGTCCATGGGGTTGCTAAGAGTCAGACACGGCTGAGCAATTAAGCACAGCACATCAATTCTATTTAATCCAATTCAGTAAATGTTATTATGCATCCTATATGCAAGGCCTGGTGAGGAATTTGAAGTAAAGAAAAAGTGATCTCCTTAGCAATCTACAGTCAGACCAGTAAGTTACCCTGGAGGAAAGAAGCAAATATTTGCATGTATGTGTGTGTTCAGTCATGTCTGACTCTTTGTGACCCCATGGACTGTAGCCAACCAGGCTCCATGAAATTTTCCAGGCAATAATACTTGAGGGGGGTGCCATTTACTACCCCAGGGGATCTTCCTGACCTAGGGATCTCTTGAGTCTCCTGCATTGGCAGGTGGATTCTTTTACCACTTGAGCCTCCTGGGAAGCCCCAAGGGAGAGGGAGATTGATTTCAGTGGTTAAGAAAGACTTATGAGAAAGTTGGATTTGAGTTGTGTCCTGAGAGTGGATATGACTCAAGCAGCTACTGGGGCAGGCTATTTCAATCCTGCTCCTAAATCTACTCAGGAAAAAAGAATTATGTTGATCCATGTAAGAAGAGCCCTCATTTTCAAATAGTCAGCTCTATTTTGTTTAAGATCATTAAACTTTCTAAAATCCATTCAGTGTTATCAAGGTTACTTGCTTCATCAGCAACTAAGCAGAATAAAGGAAATTCTGACCAACTGGGGAAGAGTTTTGCTATTCCAATCTTGTGTTTTATAAGTTGTGCACCACTATCTATTAGTGAGTCAAGGAGTTATTTTGTTGTCTAATCAATTTAAAGGGTCATGTTAGCATTAAAATATTATATATAGAACATTTGTAGCAAGTTGTTTAAAGTCTGACTCTTTTCCAACGCCATGGACTGTAACCTGCCAGGCTCCTCTGTCCATGGGATTTCCCAGGAAAGAATACTGGAGTGGGTTGCCATTTCCTCGTGCAAGGGATCTTCCTGACCCAGGGATCGAAGCTGTGTCTCCTGCATTGCAGGCAGATTTTTTTTTACTACTGTGCCACCAGGGAAGGGGCTATTTACAGCAAATACTATAGGACCTTCTTCTGGGTAAGTATTCCAGTGAAGCTTTTATTTCAGTTTTCTGTAGGCAGGTAGATGCTGTGGAGGAGGGTATGTGTGGTGGATGTACGGTCTACTTGTACTTGGTTATTTGAGAGGCAACAGAGCAAAGTGTTAAGAGAATAGACTCTGGAGCCAAATGGCCTGAAGTTCAATCCTGGCTCAACTAATTACTTACTGCTCTCTGTGACTTTGGGGAAGATATATAACTATTTGGTTTCGGTGTTCTCATCCGTAAAGGAAAAAGAATGGTATCTATCGTATTGTGATTATTATGAAGATGCAATGAGACAGTATTTATAAGACGCTCAGAATAGGGTTTGGTACATAGTAAGCTATGCGGATGTGACCGAGAGTCTCAGACTGTTGTAGTCAAATCTGAATTAAACCAAATACTTCAGAGTTTGACAGTGAACCATGCACTTCTGATTTGGACTTGAACCTATGTGCCCAGACTCACACCCAGCCTAAACTCAGATTGGGACTTGAACCCGCAGTCTTTTAATCAGAATCACTCACCTGGTGTCTGGACTTACTGAGGCTCAGGTTCTTCGTGTCTCAGTGCAGAAGGAATTCAATGAGAGGCAAAGTGGTAAGCAAGATGTAGCTTTATAGTAGAGGATGCTTGTGAAAGATGCAAGCAGGCAGGCAAGGGGCCTCTACCCCAGGATTAAAGTGAAGTCACTCAGTCGTGTCCGACTCTTTGCGAGCCTGTGGACTGTAGCCCACCAGGTTCCTCCGTCCATGGGATTTTCCTGGCAAGAATACTGGAGTGGGCTGCCATTTCCTTCTCCAGGAGATCTTCCCGACCCAGGGATTGAACCCATGTCTCCCGCGTTGTAGGCACACGCTTTACCGTCTAAGCTGCTAGGGAAGCTCTCAGAATTAAGTGGACTACAAAACCCCAGGATTAAGTGGGCGCAACTTGATAATCCACATAAGTTGGGGAGGAGGAAAAGATTGTTAGGCTTACATCACTAGCTCCTTCTTCTTACAGGGCAGGAGACTGTCTGACCCTATGAGGTCAAACTCGGACTGTCATAGCACTTATTCAAATTAGCAAAAGGGTGGTAACTTACACTAAAGTATGTTGAATCATCTCAGACTTCCGTATAATGAGGGTCTCCTACTTTGGAATGTCACCTTTCCCTCAAATTTCTGTCCTTGATCCTCAGGATTGTTACCTTGCTGAACTCGACCAGCAGAACTCAGGCTTTTTTTTTTTTTTTTAATTTATTTATTTTTTATTGAAGGATAATTGCTTTACAATCAGGCTTCATTTTTTTCTTTCGCTTAATGACATGTGACATATCTCATGCTTTGATTTATGGCATTATAGTTAAGCAAGCCTGCTTTGTTCCATGATAATCTGATAGCTTTCTTGAGCAAACATTAATTTACAGGGGTCTTCCAAATTTCCCTCAGTTTCCCTCTCTATCTATAATCCCATACTGAGATTT